TTCCCTTGGCAGGGGATGTGCCCCCCCATCTAGGGCTCGGCCCCTCCATGGGCCCCTCCTTCCTCTGTGCGGCCCGGCCGGGGGGGACAAGGACCCCCTCCCACACACACATCCCAGCCGGTGAGGGGAAGGAACCCCCGCGGACCCACACCCTTCCGTGGTGTCCGGCCTGAGGAGAAGACCGAGCAGAGCCGGGAGCCCCCGCACCGTCCCCGGGCTTTGGCTGATGCTGTCTGACAGGGCAGAAGCTGCTCTCGGGCGGCCCCCAGGGCTTGCCGAGTGTGCCGGCGCTGGTGGGCTTCGCAGCAGAGTAACAAACCCCAGGCTTTCTGGCAAGGCGGTGTGCTGAGGCCTGAGACTGTCGTACCTGTTTTGAGAATGGAGTCGGGGTTGAGAGTGTTTTGTGTGAGTTTATTTCCACCTGGGCAAGCTTTTTATCCCACGTTGTACAGTGGGATTTCTGCTCTGAGGGGTTTGTTCTTTGTCCAGGAATGGCTGAAGCCTTAAGCTGTAGATTATCATCAGGCTGGGGTGGTGATCTGCTGGCATGTGGGGGCCTGCCAGCAGCACTGCTTTTGTGTGGAGCAGAACACAGGCAAGCCTTGATCCTGGGGCTGCTTGTGTGACCTCACAAGTTGTCATAATAAAATTGGTAAAATTGATTTTATGGAAGTCTGGAAGTCATTAAGCAATTATGATAGATTCAAAAAGCCTTAAAAGAATTACCGTGCAACTTAGATCTTAGAAGAGGTATCTCTTTGGAAATGTTAAAGCCTCTGAAGAGTAGAAAATAGATTTGTCACCAGGGTGCATCCATCATGAATTCACTATAGTGTGACGAGTGTAGTCATTGTGCATTTCCATGTTTAATAATTGATTTGTTTTCCCCTTCGAGAATGGGACACCCTTCTTGCTACTATTGTACAAAACTGACAAAACCAATTTGCGACAGCAGACAGATACAAAGCGTTTTCTGAAATGCGTGTATATCTGACAGTGTAACTACAAGGGAAGAATAAACTTAGATATAAATGGAAATTAGCATGTTAAAACCTGTTGTTCAAGCAAAAAAAAATGGAATTCTGGTAACTGCAAAAGGTCAACACCCAGTTGTCCTTTTCCCATGTACTAGGTGCTTTAATCTATCCTGACTTAAGGATTATTAAATTATTAAAAACTTCTGACTTACATTATTAAAAATGAAAATTTGGCTGAGATGGGCTAAGATTTCAGAAAAAAAAAATGTCTCAAGGCTTCCCTGACTTCAGCTGTCTGTTGCCAGACACAAAGTCCTGTTAAATTGTGCAGCAGAGTTCCAGGCTGCTGCCAGCATGCTGTCTAGACAAACGCCTGATAGGAAGTGTGATGTGACTGTTTTGTTCATCAGGTGGACTCTCACTACTGCCCCAGCTGCCTGGAAAACATGCCTTCAGCTGAAGCCAAGCTGAAAAAGAATAGGTAAGGTTGCTTTGGCTTTTTTTATCAAGACTCCCTATTTTAAACAACTCCTTTGTTAATACCTGACTGTGTGTATCTATTCCAAAACTACATCGCTTCTTGTTAACTTTTAGTCTGTTTTGGGGAATAAGTGTCTTTCCATCATGTATCACATGCTCTTTATGTTTTATTTTTTTGGTGACCTGCTCTCATAATACAAAGAGTTTTTTAGTATCTCCTCGTATTTCTCACTGTTGCCATTCTTATGTTGGCTCTGAACCCCTCTTGTTCCCGTTGAGGGCTCTTTTGCCCTTTTTTCCTAATGCTGTTGCATAAGATAAAAAGGTCTGTTAGTTTAATCTTGATTTGCTTGTTGAGAGTATTTTCCTCAGCCTGGGACCCTTGTCAGAGCCCTGTCTTACAGGCTTTCCTCTTTACAGGTGTGCTAACTGTTTTGACTGCCCGTGCTGCATGCACACCCTTTCCACCCGGGCCACGAGCATTCCTGAAAAACCAGCCAAGACTACCATGAAGAAAGCATATTACTTGGCCTGTGGATTTTGCCGCTGGACTTCCCGGGATGTTGGCATGGCAGACAAGTCTGTCGGTAAGTGATAGTCAAAGACAGAAAACTGAGTAACAGCAGGAGCCCGGTATGTGTTTTGAAGGTAACAGATAACCGAATTAGTTTCTGGCTGTATGATATTACGTATATCTATCTAGGTTTTGAGTCACAGTTGGAAATTCACAGGAAAACGGTTTGTTGCTGAAGTCTTCTTTGAAGAGCTGAGATGAGTTAGCAGAACATGTGAACCACTTCCATGCTCATGCTCATCCTGACTAGTGAGAAAGCTGTCGAACAAGGGGCTTTTTTTAGTTGGTGCACTCTCCCCACAGTTGAGATCTTGTATGTGTACTTTCAGAGTCATTGAAGCCACTCAGTCTGACAGCATAAACATCTATTTTATTTTCCATCACTTTTGTTCACTTAGGCTTATTCCAGAGTTGCTAGTCAGCGTTTGTACTTGTTTTTTATCTTCACGACAGCACTGGAACAAAGCTTTCATCTATTTCTTGGTGCATAAGATATGCAGAAAATATCTGTCAGGCTCCAGAAATGGGGCTGCATAGACCAAGCAGATCCTCTGACCTCCAGTGTTGATGTGGCTGAAGAGTGGGAGCTGAAGATGCAGAGACATGGGCAGCCAGTAATAAGAGACTGTTCTTGTAAACTCATGTATCCTGCTAGGTGCTATCCTGAGTATCTCTTCAAACAGCAGTTGTTTAAAAACACAGTATAAAAGCTGGTGAAGCTCCTTCAGCCCAAACTTGCCTGTGAAAAGCTTTCAGAGGTGTATATTTGTGCAAGCATGATCTTAAAGAATTCCAATGGTTAAGTGTAGCAACAATAAGGAATGTCATACTTCATTAGTCAAACCAAGATAGTTGGGTGTTAGGTGTGACTTCTGTGTGGAGTCTGGAAATCTTCTCCTGAGGACTTTCTGTGTTTTTTCTCTTTTTCGTGCAGCTAGTGGTGGCTGGCAGGAGCCGGAGAATCCTCACACACAGAGGGTGAGTGAAGGGGAAGGCCATGCTTAGGCTGAGACATATCAGCTAGAAAGAGCTGTTAGAGGCACCGGGCCCTCTCAATTACTTTTTCTGCATCTATGTAATCCTTCAGATACCAGTTCCAGTTCCTAATCTCCACCCTGACTGAATTCAATGGAAGGAAGGCCTCTTAAAGGCTCTCCTGCGGATATCGCAGTATAAAATCTCCTTTTCAGAAGAAACTCAGTTGAAAACATCATATCTAATAGTGCTGTTAAAACGACACCAATGAATATGCTGCGTATGTATGTGAAAAAAGCTGTTTTCTGATCAAGAGTGTGTCTAGGATCTGGAAAACAGCATTGCACCTTTACTACCCTTCCCTGTCACCTGTTAGGGCTCTACACTAAATGTGATCAGCCTCAGGGTTGATGCTGTTTGCTCCACTAATCCAAATTGCTCGTTTTTGGCCATATGACAGTCCAGTCATGGCAAATGCGTGAACAAAACCTCAGTTGCCTGACAGCCAGGCAAGAATTGGACACTGCTTTCCGATAGATGTCATTCTGAAAGGAGGGTCAGTTTGTCACCCACAGTGTGGGTTAAGACATGTTAAGACACACAGGTTTCTTTAATGTGTATGCTTCAAAATACAGCTAGTACTAGGAACAGAGTGAAACAAGTAGCAGAAACCCCAGCTTGTTCACAAGCGAATACTGCAGCTGATCTGGCATTTGTTCCCCATTCACTGGGTATCTGTTCCTTTTCATCCCTCCAGATTAACAAACTGGTTGAGTACTACCAGCAGTTGGCTCAGAAAGAGAAGATTGAGCGGGACCGGAAGAAGCTGGTGCGACGCCGAAACTACATGCCCCTGGCCTTTTCGGTGAGCTGGGTGTACTGTGCCTCAACATGGAAAATTAGATAGTTGGTAGCATGATAGGGCTGCTCAGATTTTTTTTTTTACTGAGAACAAGAAAATGCACTAGGGCACATAAGTTTAGGGACAAGTAGTTTTAAACCCATTATTGTGTATTACGTTGCCTCTCTCTCTAATAGTCCTCTCTCATAATGCCAGAAGGGTTTATATTGCCATGTAAAGGAATATGTTATCCAGCAGTGAAATGCAATGCAACTGCAGTCACAATACCAGTGGTAGCTCTTCCTCAGGACAGTTGCATACCACAGCTCAGTAACAGATCAGGATTGTCTGGCACTTTTCTGCATAAAGTCTCAACTGAAATTAACCTTAGACTTGGTTGTGGCCTGAATGACTTGTTTATTGCAACCAGCAGGTAAATCCTTACTTTGTTTAGCTGGGTGACTCTGCATATGCTTGCTACTTCTCAATTAACTGTGCTTGCTCTGTGCCCTTGCTTGTGTCTTATGGCTGCATTTTTTGTCTCCGTTGCTACCTGCTGCTATTTTGGGGGCTGTCCACAGCAACACACTATACACGTAGTGGTAAGTCTTTTCACGGTTTCTGCTGGTGTTAAAGCTCTGATGGTACCAACTGAAGGGCAGTAACAGATCCTACTCTTCACCTTGCCTCAGGGCCTCTGACTTGGATGTGCCTAGAACAAAGGCATCTGAAGGCTAACTAGTTTTAGAAGGTAACGTTTGTTACAAAAAAAAATATTTTTTGTTAGCTTACAAACAAGGCAGTGTCTTTGGGTAAGTAATGCACACTTGAAAAGCGGTCCTTCACAAAGTTGGGCTGAGATGCAGTCGTGTGTCTGCCTGAGGCAAATGGCACTAATGCGAGTCTTCTGATCCATGAAAAATCACTAGGGTAGGCTGATGCTGAGATTTCTTATTTGGTCAAAAGTCAGGTTTTCAGTCCTGCCCAGAAGGAAGATTTCTGCCTCCAAGCACCCTGTGTACAGTTCAGCTGTAGAAAGCTGAATAGCTCAGCTATTCCTGCCAATTGGTGGTACCTGGTGAAAGAGCCGTGTAGGTAATGAGACTCGTAGGAGGCTGAACTTTCCAGCTGCTTCTAGTAGCGCTACAGAGCATTTCAGATGGATGTATACTCATGTCGACCCAGTTCTTTTGGCAGTTGAGCTCTCATTCTGCCCCACTTGACATGCAGTTGCTCTGAAGAGAAGATCAAGGGAAAATGTGTCAGTAGTGCAGGCTGGTGATTTAAGGAAAGAGCAAAAACTTTACAAGCAGTAGCCTCATCTGTCTCTCCCTGTCTGCGGTGTGGTGGTAATTGTTTTCTCCTTACTAACGGTTTGAGCAGAAAAAAAAATCTTGGGAAGCATTGAATACCTTTCCCTTTTTGCTTTCCTTTGCTTTTCTCCCTGTGCTTGTCATGCAGCTCAAAGGATGAGTTTGCAGTAGTTCTTTTTGTCCTGGCAGGAAGCAGACCTGAAGCTGACAGTTCCTTTTTACCTTGTAGGACAAATATGGCTTGGGAACCAGGCTTCAACGCCAGAGGCCCGGAGCACCGATCAGCGCCCTTGCTGGACTCTCGTGAGTCTCAGGGTTGGTGTTGTCATTGCGGGAAGGATAGGAGGTGTAGACAAAAGAGCAATAAAGCAAATTCAGAAAGATGATGAGCATATTAGCAGACAGCAGTGAAAAGAGCTTGCTTCTTTGGAGCGTTAGAGAGATGTCAAATCCTCAGGCATCTCTGTGCAGCAGCTCCAGATGTTTTGCTTTCTCCTGATAGAAACGAGTGACTGCTCATGTCTTTGTGCAGTTACAGTTGTCTTGCAACCTCAGTTCTTGCTGCCTTCTGTGTTACAATGCAGTTACTGCTGTTGATATCTGTCAGAGCACGCGTGCTGTATTTTATGACTGAGTTATCCCTCACTTTGCTTCAGCCTGAAAGAAGGGGAGGACCAAAAGGAGATCAAGATTGAGCCAGCTGATGCAGTGGAAGAAGTGGAACCTCTTCCTGAGGATTACTACACAAGACCAATCAATCTGACAGAAGGTAAGACCTTAATTTTATGTCACTTTTTGCCCTTATATTTTATAACATAGTGCCTGGAAACTTGTCAGTGGGGTTCCTATTGGCCGAGGTTTTAGTAATTTTTATGCTGGGATTGAAATGGTGGGAAATTTGTGACTTTTTAAATGGTAACTTTGAATGCAGCCTCAGCTTCATGTTGTACATAGAAAACTCAGAGCCAAATACGTCAGGCCTCTTAACGGTTGTTTCATTTTCTTGCTGATGTTAATTTCTCTGCATGTGAAGTGTCAACTTTTGGATGGAGAAAAGAGCTGATGTCCTTTTGCAAATAATAGCAGGAAATAAGGAAGTAGCTGAGCTACTGGGGTGTTGGAACCAAAACTGACCTGTTAAGTAACAATTGCGCATTACTTTGACATCAGCTTGGAACCACTTGCGTACACTTGCCAGTTGTTTAGCTGGCTCATGATTTAATCAGTAAATGTTGTAAATTGGTCAACAAAACTTGGGAGCAAATGGGATAAAACAGCAGGTACAGGAAGCAATGTGGACTTCGTGCTGAGGTGGCTCTAAGTAGGACAGATGTTCTTGGTAGTCCTGCAGGCCTACAAAGTCCACCAATATTAATTAATTCATTAAAGGTGTATGGAAAGGGGTAAATCATCTTGGTCTCCTTTTGTTGTGAGACTGTCAGCATTGTGAGAGTATGATGCTGGTAAAGACGACAACTTTCTTGGTTCCCTGCAGCGAGGGAAAGGCTGCCAGGTGGCTCACTGCCCGTTAGACATTGGGGACAGTGAGGAGCCTGTTTTTTGGGAGACACCCGTGGGAAGTTTGGCAGCTGGAGTTCCTTTCCTTCGGAACTATGCAGTATGCGTGAGTCTGAATTACGCAAACTCCTTGCTGAGAAGCTGTATATTGTACTCGTGCAGCACCCAGCTGTGAGGGTAACAAAGCTATGAAAACTCATTTGCCCTTGGCAGGGAAAGAACTTATTTTCTAGATGATTACAAAATTCTGTTTCTACCCTCACTAAGCTTTGAATAGAGATCAGGGTCCCTTCTTCTCCTGGGTTGGCACTGATGTTGCTCTAGTGTAACCGTGCCCAGGGGCAGCCTTTTATACAACTTTTACCTTCCATTCACTCGCTGCTAGAAACAGTGATACGTGCCAGTGGCTTTTGTATTATTGGGAGCAGACGAAATTAAGTTTCTTAGAGATTGTAGCATGTCTGCACACAGTGCACAGCATACTTGCTCGTAGGCCACTGCATGTGTACAATCTAGCTTGAGGTTCAGTGCCTGAGACATTAATTTGGTCTTGCTTTCTGTTGTGCACCCAGTGACGACTCTGCGTCAGCGTCTGCTGCAGCCTGACTTCCAGCCAATCTGTGCTTCCCAGCTCTACCCACGTCATAAGCATCTCCTGATCAAACGTTCACTGCGCTGTCGGGTAGGTAATTAAATACAAAAAAAGCGCTTTTTCTAGGCTCACAGAACTTGGATTGTGGGAAATGGGCTGTATATTTTTTTTTTTTTTTTTTTTTTTTTAAAGAAACTGCTCGAATGCTTCTGGTGGTTGAAAGTTCTCAACCAAATTGCTGGTAACAGCACTAGGGGATGAGGGAAGCTGTTGCATTTCTGACATGATCAAGATTGTGAAAGGGAGACAACATTGTCAAAAATGCATAAAGATACAAAAGTGCATTTGTGTAAGGGTCTGTGTGCTTAGCCAGAATTTAAAAAATTCTGCTACTACTAAAGACAAAAGTCAAGTCAGCAAACAAAATATTGGTGAGAGGCAGTGCAGAATACTGAAGATGCCCTTAGAGTGATGGCAGAAAGAGGATATTTCAGAGGAGAAAAGCAGAGAGCTGAGAAGTGAAGATAGGCAAGAATTAAATCCCAAGTTCTGCTGTTGGCTTACTACATGCTCTTCAGAAAGTTGCTTGCTTTCTCAGTGAAACACAAATAGTTATCTAGTTCCCGGAGTAATAGAGCAATATTCTAATAAGTATTTAAGATGCAGAATGCTTTGCCAATGCAGAGTATTTTCTCAGAAATCTGTAATGTCAGGCTGAACCTATATTTGAAGAGTAGCCTACAAGGAGATCAGCCTTGAGTTCCAGCTGTTTGTTTTTTTTTAATGGATTCTGGAGCATAAGACAAAGGTCTTACAGGTATTTGTGCCTTCTTCCTGCTGCAGTCAGTGAGTGTCTCAGTATTTTTAAGCCGGGTTCCAAATTTCATGGTTCTGAGATTGCACTGATATTGCTAGGTATGACACTTTCAGGTTATCAATAACTTGACATAGCAATGGCTACATACACTGCAAGGTAGTTTGTGTCTGTGCTGTGCTAGAGGCCAGTAGTGCTGTGGCTAGTGGCACGGTGCTTGCAGCTCTGATTCTTTGGTTTGTGACTGCACACTGTCTTTGTGTGCAGACTAAAATATCTTTGTCTCTAGAAATGTGAACATAACCTGAGCAAACCAGAATTCAATCCGACATCTATCAAATTCAAGATCCAGCTGGTTGCTGTGTAAGTAAGATATGGGGATTGGGGAGAACAACTGCCTCTCCATGCTTAGTTAATGCATTCTACTTTCATTTCTTTTGTACTCTTGATTTGACCTCTTATATGATTGTGTCATCTCTTAGGATGGCATAATCACCTTTTTAATATATTCAGCTTATCTGTAGTAGGTTTGCTTCCTGATCTTCTAAAAAATTTGCTGAAGATTTTAGCAGTTTGGAAAAGGTCCCACACAGTAGCAGGAGTTTGTAGGATTAGGCTTATATGGCAAAAGGGCACTACATTTTTTTTGTTAAATGTAAGCTAATAGCATTGAGCAAGTTAGCTGGATGTCTGTGAAAACATCCCTCTACTTCAAGAGGTAGGTTATAGACACCAACACAGTCCATCACGGTCATTTGTTTTGTTCTTCTTTGTAGTAACTATATCCCTGAAGTGAGAATCATGTCTATTCCCAACCTGCGCTACATGAAGGTCAGTATTTTTTTTGCAGAAATGTCTTAGGGTGAGGCACAGCCAGGAGGTGCAGAAGTGGGATCTTTTTGGAAAATGACACGGTGTGATGATTGCTGCCTGAGGGCTTTGCTTAGTCCGTTTGGAGAGGGTGCAGTGTTTAAGGGAGTGGTCGGAATATCACTGCATGTACTTGTCACTCTGCAGGAGTAGATTACCATGCAGTGTGATGTGTGGCACCACAAGCACACGCCAGTATCTGAAGAATAAAAAGCATGGAGTGGAGATCTTGGCTAGATTCCAAAGGTGTATTTCTTATATTAAGAAAGAGTGCTGCATGGCATTGGCACCTTTCTTGTGGACTGGGGGTGTTCACTATCCATCCCTTGAGTGTATGTGATACAATTTTTGAAGTGTTGATCTGTCACAGAAGATGGTGGTGCTAACAGTAATGATGAATTTTAGAGTAATTGCTTCTTGAACTGTGATTCCTGAATCTCCCCAGGAGAGCCAAGTCCTTCTGACTCTGACCAACCCAGTGGAGAACATCACACACGTCACACTGCTGGAGTGCGAGGAGGGAGACCCTGACAACATCAACAGCACTGCCAAGGTATTGTACCCTCCTTCTGTGCGAGCCCAAGCCTCTTCTAAGGTTTTCCACTCTCATTTAGCCTTCCACAGGTCACACTTCTCATATGTCCTTCGGTCTGTGCTGACAGTGTTCTGTTTTCCTCCTTGGAGCTTAAAAGACTGTCACCAGTGTAAACATCAGATCATAAAGTGTTTTGAAATTATGTCTCTTCATTGAGATCCAGAACCCAAGGGAGAAATACACGATTTCACTGGTAGAGTGGTAACCAGGTGGTACTAGATTGGAGCAGAGCCCAGGATCTATCACTTTTCTGTTAAACTGTAGCAGCCCTCAGAAGGGGAGGGCGCTGTCCTGCTTACAGTGTAGGTGGTGATCAGTGCTGAAATCTTCTTCTCTTTGTGCTCTGTTTCAGGTGGCAGTTCCTCCCAAGGAGCTTATCCTGGCTGGCAAAGATGCTGCGGCAGAATATGATGAGCTGGCAGAGCCTCAAGACTTCCAGGATGACCCTGAGTGAGTGTTGTCTGTTCTGTGGGGATCCTGTCCCTTAAATGCTTGGCACTTCAACCAAGTAACTCGCTCTCTGTCTTCAGCGTGTTTTGAGGATTTTGAGGGGGGTGTCTTTTGCTGAGGTAGTGGTGTGGTCAGAGGTTAGCAATGCAAGTCTTTCATTTTCTGCTTGTGGTTTGGATATTCAGTGAACATTTGTTCCCTTTGAGGCAGTCTGTGCTGTTCTGGCAGGTGGTGGTACCAATTCTTTTCAGGGATACTTGGTGTAATCCTTTCCTTGGCAAGCAGAGGGTTCGTGGTAGTGGTGAGAACTACATAGTAGGGTGTGCGACAGACTTGCCTCCAGCCTTCAAAATAGAGCCTGTTCTGCAGCCTCTTACAGAACAACTGGAGCTGTATACTATGGCCCTCCCCTGTTGCACAGCTGTTCTAGCAGGACATACTCAAGCCATAAACTGAACATCCATGTTACATGGTATCAGAATAAATCTTTTGGAACAATTGTTTGAGAATAAATCTCTTGGAACAATTGTTTGAGAACTTGGCTGACCCAGCGTTCTTTTGTTTTCTGCCTTGCAGCATTATTGCCTTCAGAAAAGCCAATAAAGTGGGAGTTTTCATCAAGGTCACCCCACAGAAAGAAGAGGGTGAAGTGACCGTGAGTTTCAAGATGAAGCACGAGTTCAAAAACCTTGCTGCTCCAATCCGGCCCAGTGAGGAGGGCGATCACAACTCTGAGGTCATCTGGCTTACCCATCACGTGGAGCTCAGCCTCGGTCCAGTGCTTCCATAAATGCTCCCAACGCTTGCGCCCCGACAGCCGGCTGCAGGATGGACTGTCACAGTGAAAAAAGGACCTGGTGAAACGTTCTGCAAGAGTTCCTTTGTGATGTGTGGGTGTGTGCCACGGGCCCCAGCCAGGCTGTGAGAGGTGGCTGAGGGTGCTGTGGTTTGGGATGGTTTGTTCTCTCTCCTCTTGTCGTAGTGCCCACTAACTACCGCTCTGCTTCCCCACACCACCACAGGCTAGTTTAACTTGTAGCACGTGTTTCAGCACAGAGAAGGTTTCACTCACTTTCTCCAGAGTTGTACTACACCTGGCTGAATTTGGTTTTATCAACAGAAAAGAACCCATATCTGTTTTTTCTTCATGTCAGCCCACAAACCTGGTTTTACATACTCAATAGCAAACAAATTCTTTTTCACACAGAGCTATGCCCTTCCTGAACAAACGTTTTGGAAGGTGGCCACATCTGCTGCGTTATTGGCATCAGCACGATGCTTTCTTTTCTTGGTTTTCTGCTTCCTCATAGGATACCTCAGCCATGGGGGATTGGGACATATACAACCCTACCACTCTGGCATATGTAGCTTGCTTAGCCAAGGTGATAGATCTGTTTTCACAAAGGAAATGATCAGTTTGCCTTTAAACTCAAAACGTAGTGTACTGTAGTGTTCATGGATTTGACTGGCAACTGACCCTGCTGTCAGCCCGCTGCCTTGCAGGTGAATCTGGTCACATGATGCGCTACGAGCTGGGCATTCAAGTTCTGGTACAGCTCTTGACTGAGGCAGGGATGCTCCAGAGAGGCTGCCTGGCAGTCTTCAGATCACATAACGTGTGTTAATAGGGGTAGCAATCAGAGTATGAAACTGGGGGAGTTAAGATTAGGTCTGGTGTACATAAAACTACAGAGGCTGTTAGAGGCTTTTTCCAGTCGAGTGGTGTGGGAGGGAGGTATAAATGTGGGAAGACAGTTACACGTTAACTAGCATACACTGTACCGTAAGGTGATTTATCTGGGGTGTAATTTGGCTGTAGTCCAAACTAAAATCAGTAATTAAGAGCAGTGTATCCAGGATACTGAATTACCAGTAACTGCATAGCTTAGTACAAGCGGGTGAGATCCCTTCCTGCAGAGCATTCACAGGTCAGACATTGACCTTCGTTAAACATTTCTGATGGGCTTTGATGTGCTGCCGTGCTGGGAAAGGCTTGAATACCAGCCAGCCGTGTTGCTTGAGACACTTGTGCCATGGTTGTGCTAGCCTGGAGCTGCAAATCCTCTGCATGGGAGGGTGGGATGAGGCTGCCTGCTCTCTGGGGGGGGCAGTGGTGCAGCATCCAAAAACATCTCCCATAGCACGAGAAACCTCTTCGTGGTGTGCCCAGGGGCATGCGCGCCTTACAGCCTAGATCCTGCAGCGGGTCTCACAGTGGCGGGGCATCACGTTTACAACTTCGTGTAGGTTACACGCAGATGTACAGCATGAGTTTGACTTGTAGTTCGTAGTTAATGTCTAGTGCTAGTGCGTGCTGCGGCTTTACCTGTCCAGATAACAAAGCACTTAAACCTTTGGCTGTGACTTCTCCTCTTCAGTAGCCAAAATAGCTGCTACACTTGCGACACTGATACGGAAAAGAGCCTCCCAGGGTGACCGAGGCCTTGAGCTGCCGCCCGGGCCCACTGGTGTTTGCACGACCTGCTCGTGAACGCTCTCCTTCTCACTAAAAACAAAAAGGTGCATTGATTTATGATATTCTGAGCAGTCTAATTAGCTCGGTGAGGTGTTTTTTCCCCTCCCCATAGGTGCTTGTAGGCGATATGAAAGGTGTTGGCCTGTCCCTGCGTCTGTCCCTGCTCCCCACAGCACTCGCCCCTCATCTCGCCCTTTCCTGACAGGTGACTGTTGCCTTACTGCTTGACGTC